TTCTATTTAAATTGAAAGAAATTTAATAAATTGAGTACTTTCATTAAAGTTGGAAGAGATTTTATGAATTAAGTACTTTCGTTTAAATAAAACAAGATCTAATTAGCTTGGCACTTTAATATAAATAGAAAGAGATTTAATAAGTCAGGGACTTTCAGTCAGATGGAAAGAGATTTAATTAGTTTAGTACTTTTATTCAATTAGAAAATGATTTAATAAGTTGAGTAGTACTATTATTATAGAAAGAGATTTATAAGGTTTAGTACTTTAACTTAAATAAAAAGAGATTTGATGAGTTGAGTACTACAGGTAAATGAAAAAAGATTTGATAAGTTGAGTGCTTTCCTTCAAACAGAAAAAGATTTTATAAGTTAGGTACCTTGATTTAAAAAAAAAACATTTGATTGGGTAAGTACTTTTATTTAAAGGGAAATAGGCCTGATGAGTGGCGTGATATCCGGTACACGTGGCGTAGCTTACCTATTACTGTTTGTTAAACTTATTATACTTTTGATATCTCTATTTTTCTGTTCATAATTGTTAATAAATCTTGTTACACATAAATTCTACCAGAAATTAAGATAATACTGTCCACTAGCCTATCTCGCCTAACTCCTTGTCTTCTCTTAGCGCATCTTTTTCAAACCTACTAATTTCTTCTCGAACATTTTTTGGTCCTTCTAGCCGGATATTAGAATTATTTTGTGTGAGTGTAACAAGATTTAAAGTTTGTGAAAAGTGTTGTGTACACCCCTGTCGCATTGCTGAGCACCCAGGACGTTGTGCTGCRACAGGAAAATCAGTTCAAGGGACCATTAGCGCAATTTAAACTTCGGCTTCTCAAAGCACAGGGTGATAGTTCCGCGTCGAGTGCTGGTTTAGTTCCTACGTCTCTAGTCCACTAGGGAAAATCTAGGTGGCGCGGGAATCCGGCACAAGGGAATTGTCGTCATCTCCGGAAGTAGTGGGGACGGCCTTACTACTACACTATCGTCTCGCCTAGTAACCGCAATCCTGCCTCAAGATAGCAGCGAGACTAGCGCTGCAAGAGGCGCGGGCTAACACCATCTTAATCTAACTGCCAATGCTAAGAATTTTCACTCAATGGACCTCTCAACCGCTGTCGACACAAGGGAATTGCTTCGAACAGCGTGGTCAAAGTTCGATGCCGAACACGACCGCATAGTATCGTCATCTCGCGAAACGGCAATGGAATAGTCGTACTTCAAAGAAAATCGCTACGATTCGACCATGCAGGCATATCTAGGCGGAGCAACGCTGTTAAACTTGCGTATAGAGGAACTTTCTCAACAAGTACCGCCTGTCACATCTCAGACAGCATCTCGTTCAAGGACAGTACTTCCTAACATCTCATTACCGAAGTTCTCCGGTGCCTTCTCAGAGTGGACACCTTTTGAGGAACTATTTTCCTCAATGATCAAAGACAACTCAGACCTCTCACAAGTTCAGAAGTTACACTATCTCAGAACCAGCTTGGAGGGGGAGGCGGCTAAAGTCATATCAAATCTAAAATTATCCGCTGATTCTTTTACTATAGCATGAAATAGATTGACAGATAGATTCGACAACAAACGCCTAATAATCCTGGCTCATCTCGATAGGCTGATGGCCCTTCCTCGCATCAAGGAAAGGTCATCTGGATCCCTCAACAAAATAATTAATATCGTTACGTCATCTCTTAGTGCTTTAGAGACATTAGGATGCCCGATTAATCAATGGGTTCACATCCTCGTTCTTCAGGTGGTATTAGCGTTGGATGACAAGACTCGCGAAGACTGGGAAACAAGATTAGGAACATCACGCGAGTTCCTACAACTAGATAAACAAATGAGTCATCTCACTAGCACGGCTGGAGCACTGGAACCTATCGAGACTCGTAGGTCTTACGAGGAATTCAAAAGAACATCCTTACGGCCCAAATCTGCCGCCACAAGGTCCTACGCAAGGTCCTTAAACGTAAAGGCTGAGGCTACTACGCCTACACCGATATCTCAGTCTACACGATCATCTCAGTCATCATTGGATAAAAGGCCAATTAAAAAACATCCGATGCGATTTATAACAGACCTCTCCAATACTTGCAGTTATTGTAGTCATAAGCACTACATCGCCTTCTGTCCTCTATTTAAGAGTCTAAGTCAACAGAAGAAGGAGAAGGTCATAGCAGAATCTCGCCTATGTTATAACAGTTTAGGCAGGCATAACGTTAGGCAATGCAGGAGTACTAGGCGATGCAACCAGTGTGGAGATCGGCACCACACGCTCATACATACCGAGAAAAGGATGACATCGTCCAGGACATTTCCTCCTACAACAAGAACATCTCCTCCATCGTCTAGGACATCTCCACCTATGACAAAGACATCTCATCCAATATCATGGTCATCGCCGCCAATCTCAAGAACTTCAAGCTCTCTTTCAGAGACAACACAGACATTTCAGAGAGTCTCGACCTCGCAGGGCTCACGGGTATCGTCGGATGAGTCACTGAGAGAGAATCGTCGAAAATCTTTAAAAAAGTCATCTCATCGCCGATCCTCTAGTCCGAAGTCATCATCATCCAATTCCGGTACGTCGACTCCCAAACACCTCTCCCAGCCGAAGGCTTCCACTCATGACTCCTCTCACAAGTCATCTTCATCTCGATCATCTCCTCCTAAGTCCATATCTACCAAGAAGAGTTCTTCTTAGAACTCTTCAAAAAAGTCGTCATCAGAATGAGGAGTAGGTGGGACATCTCATTACCCACATCGTCCTCTCAGATCCATTTTAAAAATGACCATCTCATCTACCTCAAGGTCCTCTCAGACGACTAATCGAGTCAGATTTTCGTCACCTATCTCAGACATCGATCGTTCGTCTAATCCATCGCTTTCAACGTGCTCTCGAGCTCCAGTACTCTTAGCTACTTGTAAAGCCTTTGCCATATCTTCAAAGGGAACGCATAAGTTGGTACGCCTTCTCATTGATCTTAGATCAGAGTTGACTTTAGTCTCCTCCAAAATCATAGCTAAGCTAAAGCTTAGCCGTTCTCCAGGAAACATTCTTATTCAAGGTGTGGGTAGTACATCTCCAAGAGCGACTAAAGGTCACGTGTCCTTAGTGCTCCAATCGACATACTTGTCATCTCGGGTTCATCTTAAGGCATTCATTTTGCCAAAAGTCACATCTCAGTTGCCGTCGTCTGTAATATCAGAGCAAAATTGGCCTTATCTCAGATCTCTTAAATTAGCGGATCCTGACTTTCTCACTCCAGATCACATTGACATTCTCATTKGTGCTGATAATCTCAGAAGAGTTCTCAAGTCCTCTCGCCTTGTTATGAGAGGCGACTCTGAACCTATAGCTTTCTACACCAGGTTCTGTTAAGCAGTTCTAGGCGCAACTTCCAGCCCTAGCAAGGTCGATCCTCTCAAAATTTGCCATGCCATCTCTATCGATTCTCTTGACAAAGCTCTCACAAAATTCTGGGTTCAGGAAGAAGTCTCATCTTCTTTCGCGTCAACCTTGAGTCTCGCTGAATCGCAATGCGAGCAGCACTTTGTTGATACGCACTCTCGATTGCCAACTGGTCGTTACATGGTTCGTCTGCCATTCTCGAAAGACATATCTACCTTAGGGCATTCAAGGTCTCTTGCCATGAGATGCCTTGRAAGACTTCTCAAGAAATTCGAAACCGATAGGCATTTCAAGGAGACCTACTCTGAATTCCTCAAAGAATATGAGTCTTTAGGACRTATGGTTCCTGTTCCTCTCGATGCTTCTGAGCCATCTCAGGCGTATTACCTGTCGCATCACGGAGTTTGGCGCGAGCAAAGTTCCTCCACCAAACTGCAAGTAGTATTTAACGGTTCAGCCAAGTCTTCAACCGGTATCTCTCTCAATGATCCTATGCACACTGGGCCGAAGACTCAAACGGACATTTTCGATGTACTRCTGTGGATCAGGCAGCACAAGTACATTTTCATAACGGACATTGTCAAAATGTTCCGCCAAATCCAAGTGCATCCCAAAGATCATGACCTTTAACGAATTCTCTGGGTTAATGAATCATCTCAAGTTCAGGCATATCAGCTTACGTCTGTCACGTACGGTACTCGCTCGGCTCCTTATCTAGCCTGTCGCATTTTTAGACAGCTCGTTGAAAATGAAGGTCATATGTATCCTCTCGCAGTCAACCCTATTCTCAAGGGAAGCTATGTTGACGACATATCAGGGGGGGCAGAGACTATTGATCATCTCAATGCAGTCGCATCTCAGTTAGAGGACATGTGCTCCTCCGCCTGTTTACCACTCGACAAGTGGAAAAGTAATTCCCCTAACCTTACTCGCACCTCTCTCCCACAGTCTGACAGCTAGCCTGTCCATTCGTTTGATGATAGCACTACCAAGATCTCAGGCATCTCCTGGAATTCTCAGAAAGATGTTTTTAATTTTCACGGTACCATCTCTTTCCATCAAGCCGTCACGGAACGCATCATTCTTTCAGAAGTTGCTCAATTGTTTGATCCTCTTGGACTCCTCTCTCCGGTAGTGATCAAAGCGAAAATCCTCATGCAGCGACTCTGGTGGGAAAAGGTTGGTTGGGATGATCATCTCACTCCAGACATAGTTCACGAGTGGTCCCAGTTTAGGCAACATCTCTCTCAGTTATCAGTCATAGAAACTCCCCGATGTTTAAACCTCTCGTCAAAGGCGACCTCAGTACAGATACATGGCTTCTCAGACGCCTCTCAACTTGCAATGGCAGCAGTTGTATATATCAGGGTGTCGTACGCTGGCTCATCTTCTGTAGTCAGTTTAGTCTGTGCTAAATCAAAAGTAGCTCCTCTCAAGAGGTTGACAATTCCAAGACTTGTACTCTCAGCAGCGGCTCTGCTAACCAAGCTGACCGGAAATGTAATTAGACTTCTCGACCTCTCGGACGTTCTTGCTTTTCTGTGGTCTGACTCTTCTGTGACCCTTGCATCGGTCAAAAACAATCCTATGAGATGGAAGGAATTCGTAGGCAATAGGGTAGCCGCTATTTACGAGTCTGTACCCCATGCTCATTGGAGATTCATCTCCGGAAAGCTAAATCCAGCTGACTGGGCATCTCGTGGTCTCAGTGCATCTCAACTCATTGATCACCCACTATGGTGGAGTGGTCCACCATGGCTTTCTCAGTCGCCAGAATTTTGGCACTCGTCAGTGCCACCCTCACCAGAAGAGAATTTGGAGGAACGCCCTGGCATATCACTTGCACTCTTACAAGCCCCACCTCTAGTTTGGGACTTCGTTGACCTTCCTCAATCATCCTCCTTTCATCGGCATCTCACAAAACTACTTCAGATCACGGCAATCATTCAGAGAGCAGTCTCGCGCTTTAAGAAGGTTCCTGGTTCGAGCTTGTCCGCATCGCCATTGAATCCAGCAGATCTGGAGAAAGCTAAATTGTTCTGGATACGCGCGACTCAAGAGGCGTATTTCTCACCAGAATTGAGAACGTTGTCGGCAGGACAATCTTTCAACAAACATCACGTTCTGACGCGACTCACGGCCTTTATCGATCGTGTTGGAATTCTCAGGGTTGGGGGACGGCTGCAAAATTCTTAGCTAGATGATGAGAGTAAACATCCAGCAATACTACCTCGTCAATCAAAATTCATCAATCTATTCATTTCCGATGCTCACGCCAGAACCATGCATGGAGGAACTCAGCTGACGCTCTCCTACATTCGGAGGACTTTCTGGATTATTGGAGGTCGTGCTCCTGTGAAGTCCTTCCTCAAAGATTGTCTCACTTGTGCTCGAATACGTGGAGTGAGAGMACAACAACTCATRGCTCCACTCCCGGCATCTCGAGTGACACCATCTCTTGTGTTCGAGACTACAGAGCTTGATTACGCCGGGCCAGTAACAATGAAGACTTTTCAAGGCAGAGGTGCAAAGTCCTTTGAGGGTTGGATAGCAGTGTTCATATGCTTCTCCACCTCTGCCGTTCATCTCGAAGTATTCTCTGACTACTCCACCGAAAGATTTTTCAAGGCATTTCGCCGGTTCACCAGCCGTAGGGGTCTTCTAAAAACGCTCAGAAGCGACTGTGGTACCAACTTCCAGGAAGCAAACAAGCAGCTTAAGGAGCTATTCTCAGCTGCAACGAAGGAATCYCTCAAGATCCAGAGACTTCTCGCTAATGACGGCACTAAGTGGATCTTCAATCCTCCAGCAGCCCAACATATGGGTGAAAAATGGGAGGCGGCGGTGAAATCAATCAAATATCATCTCAAACAAACCTTCTCGGATACGTTGCTAACGTTCGAAGACTTCTCCACGTTCTTAGCTCAAGTTGAGGCGGTTCTCAACTTTCTCTCAGCTTTCTCTCGGAGGACCCTGATGACATCAGAGCATTAACACACGGCCATTTCATCAGAGGGGAAGCATTAACAACTATCCCCGAGCCATCTCTAATAGACATCTCAGATTCCAGGTTGTCTCATTTCCAGCGAATTCAAGAGCGCTTCCAGCAATTTTGGAGAAAATGGTCGACGGAATGCCTGCAAGCGCATCAGACCACATCCAAATGGCAGACATCGCAAAACGATATCAGGGAAGGGTCTCTTGTACTCATCACTAAAGAGCGACTTCCGCCATCGAAATGGCCTCTTGCCAGAGTGATACAACTACACCCAGGAAAGGAMGGTCTCTGCAGGGTTGTCACGCTGAAGACCGCAACCAGCACTATCACTAGACCCCTAGAAAAAGATTTTTTAGGTTTAATTATTTTATTCAAATAAAAAGAAATTTGAATAATTGAGTATTTTCATTTAAATGGAAAGAGATTTGATTAGTTATTTATTTTCAATCATTTAAAAGGAGATTTGATGTGTGGGGTACTTTCATTTAAAAAGTAAGAGATATGATGTGTTTATTACTTTTATTTAATGGTTAAGTACTTTTATTAAAATAGAAAGAGATTTGATAAATTAAGCAATTTTTTTTAAATGAAAAGAGACTTGATGAGTTATGTACATTCATTCAAATAGAAAGAAGTTTGATGAGTTAGGTACTTTTATTTAAATGGAAAGAGAAATATTGAGGTAAGTATTTAAATTTAAATGCAAACCCTTTTAAAGACCCAAGTAATGTAATAAGTTTAGTACTTTTATTCAATTGAAAAAAGATTTGATAAATAGGTGTTTTTATTTAAACAGAAAGAGATTTACTGTTTTAAATTTTTTTATACAAATTGAAACAGATTTAATTAGTTAAGTACTTTCGTTAAAATGGAAAATGATTTTAAGAATTGAGTACTTTTAAGTAGATAACAAGAAATTTGATAAGTTTTTTTCTTTATTTTAAAGAGAAAGAAATTTTATTTG